CTTCTCTCGCATTTGTTCCCTGGAAAGAAGTCAACAAAGGGAGGAAGAGCTTCCATCCAAGAAGCCTTGGATAATTTCATTGACTTTCAAAAGGTAATTATAGCAATGAGAAGATTCATGGCCATTCCAAAAAAGAACTGTTTTTTTTTTTTTGGTAGATTGGGAAGGGGAAGTGGTTAGAAGGTAAGAAGGTGAAAGTGTGAAGCATTACATGAAATAGCCCTTCTCTCAAATTTTGTGGGATGATACATTCTATGGCAAATATTTCACAATGGGCTGTGGATATATGTGGCACCTTAGCTGGAGATATTTCTACTTATTTTTGCAACTTTCCAAGACACAATATCACTATTGTTTCTTTCCATACCCAGGAATAACTAAGTTGGTCGATAACAATGTCACTGTATATTTAAAGATTAGATTTAATGGTCAGTCAAATAAGTAATAATACCCCCTGGATAATTTCTGATGCACCTAACATTACATTTCAACTGTACTTCAGCATATGAGAGTGTGTTACAAGCAATTATTATGCACATTTCATGGTGGCAATTTTTTTTCTTTTCTTTCATGTCAGGAGGGGACCAATGTAGAGGCATACAAATCTTCGCATGGGAGGAACCAACCTTTCATCCTAGCCCTAGGAGGACACTTCTGCAATCCAGCTCAGACTTTTGTTGTATTGGAGCACCACGTTCTTGAGCAGAAGAGTCTCGTTGCAGCTGTAGATTTGTGCTACAAGATCTTTCAGATCTTTGATCTACAGTATCCATGCCAGGCAAGAGCAATGTGGGTCGTGATGGACACCATTGCTTTTGATGTCAAACCAGGAGCTCAAGAGTCTGGTGCAGTGAGAGCCTTCAGGGCATATTACCATTTCAACCAGAAATAAAGCCTTGGAATGTGTTGTTCTATCAACAGGCCTTTTGAAATTGAAATGATCACTTAGAAAATTGTCATTAAAAAGAAAACAGATTTATGAACCCCAAACTATTATAATATTTTGAAAGAGTAACTCCTCCCACATCTTCGGTACCATTTTTGTGTGGTATGTGTTTACGCTTGGATGAACATAGCACATTGATCAAAAGATGTAAAAAGTGTCAGAGTAGGGGTGTAGTTGAAATAACCCCCCAAAAAACAACCCCACACATATCAAACTGGTGTAACTTTTTAACGGAACAGTATTGAGCAATTAACTTAAAAGAAGTGTTCTTACACCTAACAACTACATTCTGTGTAAAAAAATGAGATAGATCCATGGAGCCATTCACGAGTGAGCACACGTCAAAGAAAACAATGATCACTTTTCAAGAGTATCAATAGTCCTTTTTATGTCTATAAGTGACCATTTTCTCTTTGATGTGTGCTCACTCATAGAATAACTTGATAGATCAATCTAATCTTTACACAGAATTTAGTCGATAGGTGTAACAGCACTCTTGCTAAGTTACTTTGCTCAAAACCTTTTCGTTAAAATGTTATGCCACTTTGATCAGGATGGAGTTGCTTTTTTGTTGTTTTGATTTTTTGGCACAAGTCGAATTATACATGTTCGCAAACAATGCACCATGTTCAACCAAGCGTAAACACATTCCACATTAAATGGTGACGAAGATGCGGGAAAAGTTACTCTTCCAAAATATGTATAATTTGGGGTTCATAAATTGGTTTTCTTTATAATGAAAATTTTCTAAGTGTTTAGTTTTTTTTTATTCACTTGGTAATGCAGCACAGTTTTTAGATTTACAATTCCTGTTGTTATCTTAGGATTTTAATAACATCATATTCATGTTCTTTGGAAAAACCAATCATACAGAAAGATGCTTGCAATGTGCTCTCCATTGTTCTCTCAAATAATCAACAACTCTTCGAATTTGTAACATTTTGAATTAGCATTGGTTTTTATATGAGGGCAACTCTTGTGTTGCATATTGTCCTGGGCATGTTTCATTGTTGTAGTTATATGCAGCCAAAACGGTAACAGCATATATTGAGATTTTTATTGTGAACCAAATTTATGGCTTATGTACATGCCATTTTCTGTATTTGTTAATTATATATATGCCAATACAACAAAATTCACATTCCCATGTGGCCAGGACTACTTCACACAAATGGGGCAAACATCATGGTTTTTGCGAAACCCATAAACTGGCACTGGTATGAAGCCATTCTACTAATTCTGAGTGGATATTGGGTGTGAGTGCATGAGTGAAAAAGCCAGAATAATAGTGACCACGGTTTCTATCAGCTACATTTTTAGTGTTTTTCTTTTTGTAAAAACAATGAGAAATTACATGGAACAGATGCTTCAGCCTTCTTCAATTTTAACACAAAATTGCATACTCTTTCATGCTGCGAAAATTTGTTAGAATCAGCTTGAATATGAAAATTTTTGAAAAATGGAAGATTAAAAAAAATTGTATTTTTTCTTTCCTAAGCGTATTAAGTGTTAAAGAACAAGAGCCATTTTTTCTTGTTTGCTCTGCAGATTATTGAAGTTCTTTTGAAGTCAAATTTTAGAGGGTAGACTGTAATCATCTGATCATTATCTCTAATTGCTAAATACAAAAGTGTCTTATTTTTCTAATTATGCAACTACCTTTTACTTCTTGTTTCTACAATAATAAATGTTGGGCTTCTTTTTTTCTCCCTTCTTTTTTTTTTAGGCTGAATTTCCTTAGATTTCTTAATGTTCTGTGTTTTGATATGCATTTTAATATTTGCTTTCTTGTGTTGCATATTGTCCTGGGCATGTTTCATTGTTATAGTTGTATGCAGCCAAAATGTTAAAAGCATATATTGAGATTTTTATTGTGAACCAAATTTATGGCTTATGTACATGCCATTTTCTGTATTTGTTAATTATATATATGCCAATACAACAAAATTCACATTCCCATGTGGCCAGGACTACTTCACACAAATGGGGCAAACATCATGGTTTTTGCGAAACCCATAAACTGGCACTGGTATGAAGCCATTCTACTAATTCTGAGTGGATATTGGGTGTGAGTGCATTAGTGAAAAAGCCAGAATAATAGTGACCACGGTTTCTATCAGCTACATTTTTAGTGTTTTTCTTTTTGTAAAAACAATGAGAAATTACATGTAACAGATGCTTCAGCCTTCTTCAATTTTGACACAAAATTGCATACTCTTTCATGCTGCGAAAATTTGTTAGAATCAGCTTGAATATGAAAATTTTTGAAAAATTGAAGATTAAAAAAAATTGTATTTTTTCTTTCCTAAGCGTGTTAAGTGTTAAAGAACAAGAGCCATTTTTTCTTGTTTGCTCTGCAGATTATTGAAGTTCTTTTGAAGTCAAATTTTAGAGGGTAGACTGTAATCATCTGATCATTATCTCTAATTGCTAAATACAAAAGTGTCTTATTTTTCTAATTATGCAACTACCTTTTACTTCTTGTTTCTACAATAATAAATGTTGGGCTTCTTTTTTTCTCCCTTCTTTTTTTTTTAGGCTGAATTTCCTTAGATTTTTTAATGTTCTGTGTTTTGATATGCATTTTAATATTTGCTTTCTTGTTATAAGATGAAGAAATTAAAAGATCTTTTTGTAAACTACACACCGGCATTAAGGTACCGCCTGCTTTGTAACGTTATGGAGTCTTTTTCAGATATGTTTTTTTTTTTAATTTGGACAATTATATACTGGCATATATATTCCACTTTTCTGTGAGTTTCATGCATACTGGTTTTGAGGCTCTATTTATATGCATAATTTCATAACATAACATCATTCCGTCTTGGCCTTGGAGTTCATTTTCAGCAGAGTTTAAAGATATGTCCTGTAAAAAGGAACATTGGGGTCCATGATGACATTACCAAATAAAAATTGATTTACATAATGAATTGCTAATTTATGACTAAAATGACGTTTACACATGACACATATGAAAAAGGACACATGGTCAAATTTGATGTAAAACATCAATTAAACCACAAGGAGCATTGTGAAAGGAGTTTTCTGGCCTTATTTTAGTAAAACGAAAATTACCTGAAATTTGAGTAAAACACACTTTACTATTCACTGAGTAAAACAAAGCTCAATAACGGGTAAAATATTACCCATCTAGTTGATTAAAAACCTTTACTCAATTCTGACCATGTGCCCATACGACTTCATTTGGAGTAAAATTTTACTCAATATTTCTTAGAGTGTAGAGAGAGAAAAAAGTAAGATATAGGGAGAGTATGAGGAAAAAACAGAGGAAAGAACAAATGAGAGCGAGAGAGAGAGAAAGAGAGAGAGAGAGAGAGAGAGAGAGAGATGAGTCGCATGGAGTAGAACAGAAAGGAAATGTGAGGGAGAAAGACACTATGAATATGACTGACAAAGAAAGCGGACAAAATATACAGTTTCTCATGTAGACAAAGGAACATCCCTTCACTGCTATTATGTACAAATGTGTAGAACAGGTGACACATGCACCTTTTTACATAATGGCAGTGAAGGGATGTTCCTTTGTCTACCTGAGAAACTGTATATTTTGTCCGCTTTCTTTGTCTGTCATGTTCATAGTGAGAGAAGGTGACAGAAAACGAGGAGTTCTGGATGTGAAGAGATGAAATAGAGTACAGGCTATCAAGAACAGTGACTGTACGTGGTAAAAAAGACAAACAACGAGTTATCGACATTCGACATTGCAAGCTAGAGATAGATCCTATGATGTTAAAAATTAGAGTTAAAATTATGCCGAGAAAGGAACCTAGCCATTACACATTTACATATACATATGTCATAGGACAGCGGCCATAACATACTAAAAAACATGTAAGAGGGCATGCATAAGAATACTTTGCAAGTGCCTCGGTGGTATGGATACGTGCGTAATATACAGCTAATGTCATTATAATCTGTATTATTATTATTATTATTAGGAAGGGCGGCGTTATTATTATTAATATTTCCATTATTATTATTATCATCATCATCATCGTCATTAATTGCATATTCACCTTATTATTTCATTCAGATATGGACGGATGAGAACATGATATGGGATCCTTTGGATTTCGATGGCGTCGATTACGTGGCCGTTAAAAAGAACGATGTCTGGCTTCCCGACATCTGCCTCTATGAAAGGTAAGATGACGTCATTAACCACTGTTTAAATCTTACTTCAGGCCCATACAAGGAGTTCTGGGGGTTGGAGTAAGCCCTCCTACCCTCCAACCCCGTCCCCTCTACCACCATATCTATTCACAAATATTGTGGTATTTGAGTTGATGCGATGAAAAGATATACCTAGGTCAGCCATATTTAGCATGGCGGCCATCTTGAGAAAAAAAAATACAAAGAAGTAAGTTGTAAAACACTGCCTCCTCCTTTTTTTAAAAGACCGGACGAGAAACTCCTTATTTTGTTTTACAATTCGCAATAAAGGGAGCTTCACCCCTCCCTCATCATGTAATTACAGTGGGCCGTGCTCTCCCGTGAGAGAGATTATAATTATAATTACTACACGCTCATCAACCGAATTACCCTTGTTGCTATATCCCATTCTTTTACTTAGGCAATATACAGTGTGGGTAAAAAAAAAAAACTTAACATCTAGAAAATTGCTAATTATTTTAAAAATCATCTATGAACACTAAATTATTATACATCTTATGAAAGAGTGTTTTATCCCGAATAATTTAGTATCATTTGTTGTGTTGAATGTGATTACGCTTGGATGGACAGGAGGCAGTGTTTGCGAGAGTGCAAAAATCGACTTGCGCCAAAGTTACTTATGCGATGTTTGAATAAAACGATTGGAATTTAAGTATTAATTCGGTCTTTGCAGATCCAAATAACATCCCTAACAAAATTAATCATGCCACACATATCACATATCAAATTTCAAATATCAAAGAACATTTGTGCGTGTGTATGTGTGCGTGTGACTTTGCTTCAGCAAAAAGCATATGCAATGCATCTCATTTGATACATTCAATTCATTCTCTCACTTTCGCTTTACCTTCTGGTCTTTAATAATAACACAGAGTTCAGTGAACACGCGCGTCATTTCGGTTGCACCGTCAGTTGTCAATCTTTTTAAACATTAAAAAAACAAATAATAACTATGGCGGGGGAGGGGGAGGGGTTGGGGTGTCCGAACGAGCCTTAAAAGTGGGTTACTCAGGGCCGTCTTTACACATAATTGCTTGGCTTTACTTTGACACTCACAACAAGGCGCAATTTTTTGTCTGTGCTTCTTTTTTGGTCGTTAAATGGAACATCGACCGCCCCCTCCCACCACCCCCTTTAACACGGCCATGAACAAAAGACATTACCACCCGATCAACAAGGCTTAGCGTGCTAATTGAAATTTGAAAGGATTAAACATCACATTATTGCACAGGTCGATTTTTGCAATCTCGCAAACAATGCCTCCTGTGAACATCATTTGGGATAAAACACTCTTTCATAAGATGTATAATAATTAACTGTTCATAGATGATTTTTAAAATAATTAGCAATTTTCTAGGTGTAAACTTTTTTGACTTACACGGTATACCCCACGTGTTCATTAATTCAATATCGTCTAAGCGTCACGTTATTTCTTGAATGACAGCGATCGATCGTAGGAGCCGGATCCAGGGTTTAGCTTCTGTTTCATAGACGCAGGCTAGGTTACAGTTGAAAACACCCGTCAATCGGACGGAATGTGGCCGGTTCGCGTCTTATTAGGGACTTTAAGATTGAGTGGACGAGAACACGACGAACGCCGACTGATCATGCGTGTCAACGTACTCAGCTGCCCATGTTGACTACGATTAGAAATAAATTAGATTGCACTCGACGATATACATGCATGCAGGAAGTAACACTATGAACATGACGGACAAAAAAGAGGACAAAATATACAGTTCCTCATTCTACCCTTAACAATTGCTGTGGTAGACAAAAGAACATCCCTTCACTGCTATTATGTAAAATGTGTAGAACAGGTGAATATGCATGTCACACCTGTTTTACACATTTTTACATAATAGCAGGGAAAGGGTGTTCCTTTGTCTACCTGAGGAACTGTATATTTTATGCGCACGCGGCATACTAGTACATTGAGCATGTTTATGTAAGAGCTATATAAATATCAATATGTGTGTATGTACTAGATTTAGGAAAATCAAGGTTGACGCATTCCCCATCGCCGACTGAGACGACGTGACGCATGCGCAGTGCCTTAAAATGACGTCACACGTTGCAGTCAAAGCTGTCGACGTGCAAATCTAAAAGTCCCTATTATTTCGTACCACGGCGAGCCCAGATTTACCTCGCGAGGGAAACCTGCGCATGCACACTCGCGAAAGAAACCAGCGCATGCGCACATGGAATCCGGTAGGGTGCTCAATAGGCCGAATTGTGGACTATCGGACAGGCTATTAAATGGAGAAGAGTCACCACCTTCTCATAGTTAGAACCTACTACACTATTTGTATAAGAGTAGGGGAAACCCAGGTGTAATGGTCCACCTGTACATCCCAATCAGTAATACAGGTAGGAAAGACCCTAGGGTTGCAGTGATTTAGCTCTCTTTTCACCCTCTTAGGCACAGTTGACACCAAATACTCAATATTTCAAATTCAAAAACAAAAATGTTGATAAGAAAACAAAAAAATTAATTTTGTTTCCACGAGCCATTTGGCTACGAACATCGATATTTGGGTAGGGGAACGTTTCATTTGTGTACTTAACGTTTGCGACACTGCTTTGAAATAGGTACAGGCCGGTTGTGCCCCCATAAACTGTTGGTGTCATAGTGCCAATCTACTACGATTCTTACTCCGTCACAGTGTCGTCAAGGATTCCTTCAGCTACGCAGATACTTACATCATCGTGTCGAACGACGGGACCATGGTCTGGTACGTCCTGGCCATCGTATTGGCTTCCTGCCCCATCGATATTACCTACTTCCCCTACGATGTGCAGACCTGTTACCTGAACTTTGGCCCTTGGTCACTGGGAACAGATAAGGTAAGACCCTCCCCCCCCCCCCCCCCCCCCCCCCCCCCCCTCCGAGGTCGGAGGGACCGCAATCGTGTTCCAAAAAAATCCCGGTAATGCCCGCATCACACTGACCCGAGGTTGACATAAGATGGACAAATGATGAAAGAAATGTTCAAATTCGGCTCTGATCGTAAAGACATCGGGCCATATCGGGCCATTCGTGAGGGCATCTTAAGCCATCGTATGACCGCCATTGGATTTTTCAGGCTCCGGCAGCAACTTCGTGAGCGATGGCAAAATCTTTGGCGTGACAAAAAATTACCCGAAGACCTTGCAAAGGTTTATTTTCGTGTTGAATTCATGTGTCCATATTGCCCTTCCAATCGTCTCATCTTCGTCTGACTCTTCACTTAGTGTGATCATCGGTGCCATCGGGCATTTATCCCCTTACGAAGACAATACGAATGAAACAAAAAGCTGCCCGATTGTCTTTGGAAGGCAACACGACTACGTGAAGCCCTCGCAATACCATCGTGTACCCATCGTATTATAGTACGATGACATCGAGATGGGACCACGATGTCGGTGAAGACAGCCAAATTTAAGTAGCTCAAGAACTTCCCATGAAAAAGCCAACCTCAGAGCCACAGCTTTTTCAAGTTTAGACAGAAAATGAAACATAGACAACAAATGACAAAGCACAATATCCAGAAACTGTCTGTCAGGCACTGTATACTCAACTGAGATGTGAAATTAATATTGCAAATCAAGGCTACCGACTGCCGAGCTTAGACCAAAACTGCAATTGCAGACCGCTCATATTCAATTTGGAGTTATTGGAAAATTGAAAAACCTTATTTATTACTTTTATTCCTTCAACAATTTTGTTCCAGGTCCTTTTTCAAATTTCAACCGACGCCAATGTGACCTTATTTTTTAAAAATGGAGTCTGGATACTGGAAAATGCAATATCCAGAAATCATATCTTTGAATCGTGTTGCTACAATCTCTCTTGGTCCACAGTCCAGTTTATCCTGCAAATCCGCCGTCAATCGAGTAAGTATACATTCTATTATCATAATAAGGGCCAAATGCATTAATTAATTCATTCTTTCATTAATTGTTTGATTAGTTAATTCATGCATTTATTAACTCATTCATTCATATATATATTCATTCATCCATTCATTCATACTGTAACGAAACCGGTGACTCTGACAAATTTTGCCCAGCAGCTTACCTTGTCATGATGCCTCCTGCTTGCAGGTTTTTCAAGTCCATTACAAATTCACCGTAGATCCGTTCGACAGAGATATACTGCCCCGTTGACCTTGACACCACTCTGATATATTAGGGACTTTTAGATTTGCACGACGAGAACGTGGACTGCGACGGGTGGTATCCTTTTAAGGCAATGCGACGTCCTTTTAAGACACTGTCGGGCGCTGACAGTGCCTTAAAAGGATGCCACATGTGGCAGTCCACGTTCTCGTCGTTCAAATCTAAAAGTCCCTATTGCCATGTCCAGGGGTAGTTGTCCTAGGGGTTAGTTGTCTGGGGGTAGATGTCCGGGGTGTAGTTGTCATAGGGCGGTAGTCGTCCTAGAAGGTGGTTGCCCTAGGGGGTAGTTGTCCTAGGGGGTAGTTATCTTAGAGGATGGTTATCCTATGGGGATATCCGGGGGATGGCTTTTCAGGGGGTAGGTATCCGGATACACTCTCTCATACACATCGGTGGGGAATCTTGTAGATTAATGGGAAAGAATATAATAAATATCTCAGAATAAGTAAATTTATTTCATGGGGTGAGGTCACCTTTTTTTTACTTTTTTTTTTTTTACTAGCTTTGACCCAGAAATATTTGTATGTACAGAAAAAATGCAAACAAAAAGTAAGTAAAATAAAATGAATATTGAAAAAATGCTTTATTTGCATATTTAAACAGACTATATTTGCATATTCAAACAGAGTACATTTGCATATTTGAGTAGAGTGCAGTTGTGATTTAAACTGGTTACATTTTCATATATTCGTCGCGAATGCAGGTTTCTACACTCGTACTGTCGTTGTCCCATGTATTCTCCTGTCGGCGTTAATGGTGCTCGTCTGTTGGCTTCATCCAGCGTCTGGTGAGAAGGTGACCTTGGCGGTCAGTAACCTTCTGGCGTTGATCCTCTTCCAGCAGCTCGTGGCCGATAGACTGCCACCAAGCGGTGAGACAACGTCCATCATTGGTAAATATGCCTTTACTTAAGAGACGGCTGAGTAGTTTTCTAATTCTTTGTACGTCGGTTTTGAACAGAATCGTAGTATAGGCCCACACGACCTTTGAAAAGAATCGTTTATCAAATGCCCTCATAATTATACTAAATAGTCTATACCACAAATAACTGTTTTCCCATTAGCACATTTCTGTTTGCAGTGCATTAAAAAAAAAAGCAAGATTCGGTCTTTTTGTTTTACGCCCCAGGCCCCCTTTAGAAAAGTTACTAATTACGTGACACCCTCTTCTCACCCTCAGTGATTTTCTTCACCGTGATGATTGGGTTGAGTTCTGTTGAGGTGGTGTGCTCCATCATTGTCCTGCGACTCTACCATACCGGTGGAAGGCGGCCGATACCCAACTGGTTGAGACGCACGATGCTGCACCCGTTCATCATGCGTCTCTACACGAACGCAGAGTGTACCGCCATGCTGCGAGCCGAGGATAAGGATAACGAGTAAGTATAGCCCGATGCCACTGAAAGATCCTTGACAATTACTGTCCCACAGACAGCTTATCCCGGAAAACTACCCCTTGGACAAATCTATCTCCTATTAGAATCGCCTCTTATACGTCAATGTCGCCTAGTTTAGTAGTACTTATACTATCTAATATTTCATATTTTGTTGTTAAGGTTGTGTTTCGATCTTAAAAATGTCGATTGCCCTTGCGCTGTTGGACGGAGTCCGTAGTCGACATCGAGGCGAAGCCAGAAGGCCGAGGCGCTTGCGCCGAGGGCCTCTTAACAAGTGATCAGAATTATATATTCACGAGACCCGATTTCCTACTGAATTATGCATGTATACGTTAATTACGTAATCACCGCAGCGATTGCCCAGCAATTTAGCCAATGAAATCTCAATGATTTCTTCTTTCAGTTTTGGAATAGTCTATTATTTATTGGGTGAGTCATGTAAATCTCACGCTCATAATATATTTACACGCAAGTATATAATGAAATATTTGATAATTTAATCATTAAAGATATTGCATTTTTAACATAGACCATCACAGTGGCGTAATGAGCACAAACGTTTTTTTTTTTTTTTGGGGGGGGGGGGCTGAAAAAAAAATCCACAGCACCCCACTCAAACATGCAGGCCCCGCTAAACGTTTCGCAAAGTGGGGTCTAGGGTCAAAGCCCTGGCGGGGGTCAAGAGGCGGAGCCCCCGAAGCTCAAGGGGTATGGGCATCAGTGGCGGATCCAGAAATTTCTTACCGGGGGGGGGGGGGGGCACAAAATGGCATGGGGTGAAATATATATATAAAACGACGAAGCGATAGAACGAGGCTTTAGCGGCGAGGTCGCGGAGCGACCAAGCGGGGGTGGGTCTGGGAGGGGGTTTTGGCCCCCTCCCAGAGTAAGAAGCATTTGTAATTTTAGAACCAAATTAGACGCATTTTCAGGCACTTCCTAGCGTAATATGACGTAAAATTGCTTTCCCCTACCCCTTCCAAGAGTAGGGATCTTTTGCAATTTGAGAACCATATTTGGCACATTAATGTCCACCGGCACTTCCTGGAGAAAAAACGAGGCCTTCTGATTGGTTAAAGGTTAGAGAAAAGTGATCTGTGACGTCTTGAGACGTTGGATATGCTTTGATGCCGCACAATGCACAAAGACGATGGTCCGGTACTTTATCAGTAGTACTTGCAAAAAAATTCTCGAGTGTGTAAACGGTGTCGTTATCAGGGGCGTCGCTAGATCTTTGTCAGTGGTGGAGTGGGGAGGGTGTAGAGGCCACCGATTACCGACAAAACGAGCAACCAATTACCGACAAATATATTAGGGACCCCTCTGTAAACCAGCATTGTTATGCTAACAACGCTGAGTAGGGCCATCCCTCCGTCTTTCTTTTTTATAAGTTTGTCTTTATGATTGTATATATATATATATATATGTTGATGTATTTTTTAAATGACGGAAAATAAATACAATACAATCTTAATGCCAATGTCCAAATGTCTACAATTTTAACCCTATAAACCCGGGGCCAGGAACTAAGTTATTTTTCAGTCTCCCCATCCCGCGCGAAGCGCGGACACTCATATGGAAACGTTGTATCATCCGCTCAATCTGACTTGCGTGCATAGAACAAATACGCATTTTTCCATGAAAAGGGAAGTTTTCTAAAATGTGCGTTTCTTTCCGGCATTGGGGCGCCCGGGAGTCACTCGGGTAACATTTCATAAAGTATAATATAAAAAGACCATATGCAAATTTTCTGTACTTTTGTCGGAAAAAATAGATTTATCCAGCACAATGTCGTCTCTTTTTACGTTTGAGAAGAGCAAAAAGCAAGTTTCAATCATACTTTGGCCGTTCTCGCAAGCTCTCACTCGTTTCACTGTGGTCAAGCGACTTTAGGGCAAGCGGTTAATGAAAATACTAATCGTTAGCTTTCTTCCGGTATTAAACTTGTTTTTATTGATTGTATAATTTTGTCGGAATAAAGGAAACAAAAAGGCTTGACCAATAACTTATCAGCGTCTGAATTGACCTTTTGACCTTAAATTCCCTTATCAAAGCGCACATAAACAGGTTCTAATGACGTCATCTTCGCTCATTCGGTGTCTTTTATCATAAAATGATAACTTTCACAATGTTTATACATCTTTTTTTTAAACTATGAGTAAGATATAACATATTTTGTTTGATATCACTGAAGTTTTGGGTTTTATTTAATGAGTTTTAAAACAAGAGCCATTTTACTGTTTTAATTTACTGGATCGTACCATTAAAGTCACATGGTAGAAAGATGCATTTTCCAACCGCGCCAATATTAAATTATTATTATTATTTTAGTTAAGAAAGTTATATTTTTGTAATAGTAATACATGTATGTACAGCGCCATGAGCGTCAGAGCCTGGCGAATACCGGCGCTATATAAATATCCATATTATTATTATTATTATTATTATTATTATTATTATTATTATAATTAATTACGTTCCGACATTCTGTTAAATGGGTTCGTGTTGTTAGAATCCACTGCTTTCTGCTCAACCAAACGTCCACATGCGGAATCGTTTATCAACTAAATTATTCAAATTTGTGGATGCTTCCTTCCCAGGTATTTGTGTTGTTGAAGCATTTTATTCACCTGCTATCATTCTTTGTACTCCGATTGCCAGAACGCAAATTACATTTTGGTTTTATAGCTTCATTCAATAAGTAAGTCAATAAAAGAGTATGTTCTGCACAATAAAAACAATGTGTGTCCCTATTGTACAATGTAATGTATCGCCTCATTTTGTAATAGTTAATTTACCCATTCACATAATGGAACTACATGCCCGGTGAAGCCAGTGGTCCGTGACCCCTGAGCACTCAACACCGTGTGGGAGTCAGTTTGTGGTCAACTTCTTTTCTGAGACAAATCAAAGCAAACGTTTCCATATGTTGACACTTCATTAAATTATTGGAGAAAGAAGACGATCCGTTGTACCGTTCTCGACTCTTAATTCTTGTTTTGATCCAGTTCCCCCCCCCCCCCCCCCTCCCGCGCGAAGCGCAGCAGTTTTGACGTTTCAATAAATTATTACTCTTAATTCTTGTCTGAATTCATTTTCGCCCATCCCGCGCGAAGCGTGGAAGCTTTGACGATTCATTATATTATTACTCTTAATCCTTGTCTGAATTCATTTTCGCACATCCCGCGCGAAGCGCGGAAGCTTTCACGTTTCATTAGATTATTAGAGAAAGATTCCTTGTATCGTGTTCTTGTCTGAGCTTTGCCGTTTCATTTAATTATTAGAGAAAGAAGACGATTCGTTGTACCGTTTACTACTCTTAATCTTTTCTTAATTCAATTTTGACTTGTGTTACTGTTAAATGCTCTTCCTGGCCATTTCGGAATGTGTCAGTTTGCAACAGAAATGGAGAAACGCGCATTTTGTTGAAAATCATGTGATATCACAAACTTTTATACATCACTTGTATATGGAATTGAAAATAAGTCATGGTTCAATTTCATTTGGGGGGGGGGGGGGGGGCTGGCGCCCCCCCCCCCCCCCTCCCCTACCAGTACGCCAGTGGACCAACATATAATCACAAATGGGAAATAAAATTTTCCGTGCAGCAATAGATGCGTCTTTGCATCAGTGCTGAAAAGCTATCATTAATAGTCTACCTGTACCTGACCCTTTACTGCCCGGCAAAGCCCCGGGAGATCGGCGGCCTGGTTCTCGCGAAGCAGCAGTCTCACTCTCACGGAGGAAATCAGCACAGAGCGGTAGCGCATGAAAGATCACACTTTACCCATAGCCACTAGGAAGATTTACAAACACATCTTATCCTTTAAGTGCAGATTTTACCTTGTTGCATTTTATTTGATTATTTTTAAATCGGTCAATTTTCAACCTTCTGGCTGCATATTCGATGCTCTCCGAAATATCGTCATCATCCGTCGCGGAACAAAAGTGAACAGCCATTTTGAATGTTGTTGTTGTTGTTGTTGTTGTTGTTCTTGGGTTTCAAGGCTGACCAATCTAAAAAGATTATTTCTGCCTGACTGTCATGGTTTTTTTTAGTTGTTCATCACTTATGATTAGATGGCGCTGTTTCTTTCCCTCTTCAGTGGGTATCATGCACTGTGCAGCTTCCGTTTATTCGATGGTGCGGGCAATAATTTAGGTGTCGACCATGAACAGGGTGTGAGTATTTTATTAATAATAGGGGTTAACTGTGCAGTGCTAAACTATACTTTCCCTTCTCTTCCTCTCCAAGAGAGTTACTTATAACTCGTTAGCTATAATGATTGGTATCTACCTGTAGCTTTTATGAAAGCCAACAGAGTGTACAGATGATCTTTATTCCCCAGTAAATTCTTTAAACTCTTATCTTTAATTTACAACCGAGAAAACAACCTGTTCCTCTCTCGTACATATTTCTTACAAAACAATAAATAATGTTCGATTTTTCCAGTTCCATGACAAAAATCGCATAAACCATTTTCATGTTTATTAATACTGAATTTTTAAAAGCTTAATTTGCATTTTCCCACTTTCATTTGATGTAATAATCTGTCATCTTGTCTACAAAAACCAGAAAAGTTAATAAGTCTCGATGTTTATGAATGGATCTAAAATAAGAATTTACCTTTGTCTGTCTGTTGTTTCCCACTGATTTTGCCATAAATGCTGATAAAATTGACGCATGTGGTTAGTTAATTCAGTGGTACACCTATTCCGTGGTACAGTTAATTCTTTGTGTTCTTTTTGTGTTTGCATTTTTAGCCAAACTGTCGGCTCTTTCGTTTCCCAGTAGGTCACAATGCGCAGGTCATGCATATATGCACGAGTCAGTCATGAATATTTGATATTACGTCATAGTAGCTCTCTCTGATTGGATGATTTTCACCGAACCACAGTTGGGTCGGAATATTCGCCAAACAATGAAAAACATGAGACATTCAGATCACTTGTTAAAGGTACTATGTCCCATTTGCAGGCCAAGAAAATGTTAAATTCCAACGGCATTTGAAAGATAATAATAATTTGAACTTCCCTCAAAAGATGGGGGCTTGAAAATGTCTTTAAAGGTAAAGACCAGTTATGGTCATGCGATTGCATTGTGAAAGAAACGTTGTGGAATCGATCAGAAAAGGTTGATCATCTAGCATCTAGCATCTGCAAGGTTCTGGAATCATCAAAATGATAAGAAATTTGGCCCATTCTTCGTAAAGTTACAAGCACTATACACAGAAAGATGTATATGGGACTACCCTATATCTCTCACAGACCATGAGAGAAACAAATTTACCAAATATATGAATAAGTAGGCGGTTTCCCGGCGAATTTGTTATCATCATGTATTAGTCAAAACATATTCTTTCACATGATTGGTAATGAGAGCTTCCATTTCATTTTTTGAAATTGGGGCGTTTCCAATACTGGTCTTTACCTTTAAGTGGGAAAATAACGACTATTAGTTCCCGAATCAACTTAAGAGCTATAGAGCCAGTAAGGAATAGTCTGATTTTCAGACCATTGTACCGAATAGTCGTACGTTTCTGCTGCGCAAATAGTCAATCAGTCAATCAGTTTAATTTTGGCCATTACAAGAAGTGAGTTATTGATGTAGACAAATGCTCATGTACCCTTTACAGCTTATTTTATGTATTTTATTACCAAAGAAGAAAAAAGCCAGTGAGTCACTCAATAGTGTCTGACAGTGAAGTCTAGCAATTAAACAAGTTTCCTTGCATAATTTAAATATTAGGACACTGCTAACATTTAAATTGTACAGATAGGACATACATGACATATTTATAATTCCTGCAAAGTTCTACATAATTTTATGTTGGCTGCAAAAGGGAAAAAGTATCTTTAAGAGGCCCCGGCGCAAGCGCCTCGGCTTGTTTCGCCTCGATGTCGACTACGGACTACAAGAGCAACAGGGCTATCGACAAGAGGCTATATAGACGGAACCCAAGAGTGTTTATGAGTGGCGATGTTTTAATTCTAATTTATTTATTTATTCATTCATTTCATTATTAAAGGTAAAGACCAGTTTTGGGAAAGGCTCAATTTCATAAATATGAAATAGAAGCTGTTATTACCAATCATGTGAAAGAATATGTTTTGAATAATACGTGATGATAAAAATGTTGCCGGGAAACCGCCTACTAATTGATATATTTGCTAAATTAGTTTATCCTTTGGGATGTGAGAGATAAAACGCACGTGTTGCGCACGTTTGCCTAGTCCCATACATCTTTCTGTGTACGGTGCTTGTAACTTTACCAAGTCTGGGCCAAATTTCTTATCATTTTGATGATTCCAGAACCTTGCAGTACACACCATTACTTATATGCTAGATGATCAACCTTTTCTGATCGATTCCACAACGTTTCTTTCACAATGCAATCGCATGTCCATAACTGATCTTTATCTTTAACATTATTGGGGGCGGGGCTTCTTGCGGCGCTCCTTCGTACGAATCGCATGCGTTGGCCTACGGCCCGACCATGCATAACAGACATGACAAACACCTGTGTTCCTCTTGATTTTTAAACAGAGGAATTTTACTCATTCCAATGGGAATAAAACGAAATTTAACGGGTATTTATTTTCTAAACCGAAATATTTAGTGATCAAAGATTAAATTTGCATAGACAAGTTATTCAAAACTGAATGTGCGCAGATGGCGATTAATAGTAATACATGGCCAGTCGTACCAGAACCCCGACCAGAACATAATCTGTATAATTTTTTTTATTTCCTTTTTCAGACTCCTGACTATGAATTCAGTAAGTAATCCGACTCCACAAAACCACACCAACATTTCAACACAAAACCAAGAACACGGGATGCACGAGGAAACGGAAAATAATGGTGTCGTGCAAACTATGAGTCAGTCGCCTGAATTCGACACTGTGAGCATGCGCAATGACCTGGAATTGGTTAGCAGGACGTGGCAGGAAGTGGCCATCGTCTGCGACAAGGTTTTATTTATCCTTCTGCTACTGGTCACTTTAGTCACTTGGTTGTATGTACTTGTTAGCTTTCTGATGCAGAAATGATAACGGTAGGAGAAGATGAGGATTGCCTCTACCACTTAGAAGTCAGGGAGGGCAAATTTATATTTCCGCCTCTGCTGCTGGTCACTTTTTATGTGGCTCGGATGTAAATGTACTATATTATAGCTTTGTTTTATTTGTGATTTAATCACATCTTCAATACATTCCTTCGAACAGGTTGCATTCCAAAAAATTGGAAAAGGGCACGAGTTACTCCTCTGTTTAAAAACAAGAAATTACAAACCCATAGACTTCTATTAGTTCTCTCGCAAATAATAAAAATACTATAAAAAGCTTTACACTCTCAACTTTACAATTATTTTGCGGACAATGTTCTAGATCTATTGAGTCCCCGGCAATCTGGCTTTCGTATACTACATTCAACAAGTAGTGTTTTAATTGATGTTAATGAATATATTGTACGTAAGATCGAAGACAGTTTAGTGACTGGAGTAGTTTTCATAGATTTAAAAAGCGCCTTTGATTCGGTATCGCATAACTTACTTCTATCTAAATTATCGAGTTACGGCGTTAACGAAACAGAAGCAATTTGGTAATATCAAATTATTTACGCTGCCGTGTACAATGTGTTGAATTAATATTTATCAGATTTCAGACCTATATCAAAAGGTGTACACGGGGGAGTATGCTTTGGCCAATGTTATTTTCGACATTTTCGAGTGATGGATGTAATAACAAATTTGGTAATCAGTTCAAATTATGTGTTTATACAGACGATACTGCTATATTTTGTCGGGATAAAGCGGTTTCATTCATTCAGAAAGAGCTGGAGAGTTGAGTAGAGTTGCTGCTCCTGCTCTGCAACTCTACTCAACTCTCCAACTCAATCCAGTCTTCTACTCAAACCTCTCATTCTATCTACAACTTTCTGGTTTACAGTCCTTTTCAGGACTACTCACTTCCGAAAGATACTCTTCCTTCCAACCTCCACTTTCTCGCCTTTCTATTTCACTTCTATTTTCTATCCACTTTCCTTAGTCCTTCTAGGACTTTACACATGGTGTACCGTAAACCTCTCCCGAGATTGATAACAATCTTAAATATAAAGAAAATAAATTGCATCTTGATTGAGACTCGTCTAAAGGTGAAGAATAAAAGACTGCAAATGTGTGTAAATCATACAGACTCGAACAAGATGTTCAATTTAGGTACCTCAGGTTGATAATAGACTCTTGCCTACGTTGGAATTGTCATATTAAAGAAAAACTTGAGTTCTGGTAAAATAAAGAAGAAAATGAATTCTCACAAGATCAAACGAAACTTACACTGAATGTTCAAGATTACAAATAAATGTCATTTGCCAAACAATGTTGGTAGAAAATGTATACCGGCTGAGTAATGAGCATACTAAGATAAGGACATCAAGATTAGTAGCCCCGACACCATTTGTGTAGTCCCGTATACATCTTTCCATGTATACCGGCTGAGTAATGAGCATACTAAGATAAGGACATCAAGGTAAGTAGCCCCGACACCATTTGTGTAGTCCCGTATACATCTTTCTATGTACAGTGCATGTTACTTTACCAAGACTGGGCCAAATTGTTTATGATTTTGATGACTCCAGAACCTTGCAGTACACACCAATACATGCTACATGATCAACTTTGTTTCTGAACCATTCCACACCTTTCTTTAACAATGCAATCGCATGACCAGGACTCAACTTTATCCTTAATGTATTATATAATAAGTTGTCAAGAGCTATTAGTTTTAATAATAATAATAATAATAGCCTAATAGTCCACTCCAAATTTTATTAAACCGAAACGGAAATTATCAGACGCATTCGGTATATCTTGCCCAAGCAAGTCCTAGTAATGACTTATAATAATCTCTTTTTACCTCACATTGACTACTGTAATATAATATGGGAACACAGAGTGTAATGCAATATTACAAGAGTTCAACAATTACAAAACCGCTATGAGAGACTTATGCTACATGTATATTTTTGTACACCTCCTGTTACTATAAATTCCGAACTTTCTTAGCAATTAGTTCGTCAAATAATTAAGTACCAAATGTGTCTATATATATATATATATATATATGTATATAAATAAACAGGTGTGTGTGTATGTGTGTGTATATATCAGACGTGTACGTAGATGGGGGGGGGTTGGGGTTAACCCCCCCCCCCCTCAATTTTTTTGTTATATATTTTTTTTTATCGGAGGATAACCCCCCTCACTTTTATGTCAAATAAAGAAAAAAAAGGGGAAAAAAGATTATTATTTTTGGTGTGCTAAATGTTGAAAACACTTACCTTCCCCCCCCCCCCCACTGAACGAAAATCGGTCGACATTTTCCAAACTATGTGCTCTTACCCCCTAAATTTCGTTTATTATCTTTTTACAATTATATAAACTTAAACTATTGTATCAAACCATATCATGTTCATAAAAATGTATGGTGAAAAAAAGAAAAAAGATGCAGAAACCAATAAATCAATTCAAATCAAATCAAATGTTGTGTATGTATGTATGTATACTATTGAGAGAGAAAGAGAGGGAGAAAGAGAGGGAGAAAGAGAGAAAGAGAGGGGGTACTAAAGAAGTAGAAGGGAAATTATAATTATTAATCGGAGAGGCTGGGGGACTGGTTTTATGCGTGTAAAACGTATTTGGGATTGAAGAGCGATAGTAATATTATGATTGAACGAGTCATTTAAATGGTTCATAAGAAATATTAAACGGTGCCCGACAATTCTTGGTCTTAGGACAAATCCTCCAGGGAATATATTTTATCGAAAATGTAGTGTTACGGTTACCATAACAGGGGTAGATCCAGGATTTACGAAAAGGAGGGGAGTTGGGCGTAACCCAAAGAGCATAAGCGTGACTCCTTCGGGGTAGGGTCCAAGGTCCTGTCCTGTTACTGTATTTGGCTATGCTTAAGACCCTGTGTTGCAGGGCAGAGCCCTGTCGGGATCGGATGCTTTCGAGTTTTAGCAATTCAAAACTTTCAAGGAATCCGTCTTGAGCAATAGAAATTGTAGTTTATGCCTCAAAATTGTTATTGCATTATTTCCTTGAAATTCAGTGCTCTCTCTCTCTCTCTCTCTCTCTATCTCTTTCTCTCTATCTCTCTCACACACACCATTTCCTATGAACAATTTCATGTGGCAAATGGCTGTTTTGGATTCGGTGCAGGTGAACCACTTTTATCTGTTATCATAGTAATAGACATGTGGCTGTTGTCATTCATAACAATTTGTTTTGTGAACAGGACCCTTTTAATATGACAAAGCAATTATTAGACACAATCACATCCCCATTTCACCCGATGTGCTCGCCAATTGTATAAAGCATAAATGGAATAGCATTTTTGTTTATTAAATTGTAAATCATTAGATAGAGAGGATTTCGCTCTGGGGACTATTTTGTATATACACCGTTGGTCATATTAATGGTGGAATAATTATTTTTCCCCCAATTTATTGAATGATTTTGACAATGATTTATTCCTAATAGATCTAGATAATAGTATACATTCTAAGATTTTTTTGAATGGCAATTGGGGAGTGTTTGTTTTGCGTGACTGCTAAAGCATGTGTGTGCTACTATGCTAATCAACTAGGGGACCTACGTTCTTAAGTCATAACTGACAGTAATGGGGATAATGCCTCATAAAAGGGCACTAATATAGCACATCTACACGGCTTTGATCATGGGGGTTCACAGTAACGAGGCCATTGCTTAGCCAATGAATCATGACTGTACGCAGCGGGCGCTAGGGTACGTCGACGCCCCCACACACAAAATAAACAAAGAAAATACAATAAATTATCAATGATTCATTGCATTTCCCCCAATTCCCAACAGGAACAAATCCTCTGCAGGGCCATGCATTATGGTTCAAGGCATGCCCACATAGAGGTTTTCTTATGTTGGGGATTCGGGCAAAATGCAATGAATTATTGAAAATTTATTGCATTTTCTTTGATGCTTTGTTTTTGTGGGGGGCGTCGACGTACCTTAGCGCCCGCTGCGTACAGTCATGATTCATTCGATAAGCAATGGCCTCGTAACTGTGAGCCCCCAGGATAGAAACCGTGTCTATGTGCTATATTAGTGCCCTTGTATGAGGCATTAATCCCCATTACTGTCAGTTATGACTTAAGAACGTAGGTCCCCTAGTTGATTAGCATAATAGCACACACATGATTTAGCAGTCACGCAAAACAAACACTCCCCAATTGTCATTCAATAAAATCTGAGAATGTATACTATTATCTAGATCTATTCATTGTCAAAATCATTCAATAAATTGGGGTAAAAATAAATATTCCACCATTATGACCAACAGTGTACATACACACACGAACACGCACATACACCCACATACACACACACATATCTGTATATACTCAATTTGCTCAAAACAATATAATAAAAGAGTACGTAAGTACGTAAATATGTGAAACAGAACCCGTTTTCTTTTTTAGTCTATTATAAGTTTTTCATTTCATTTTATTTTTATTTTTTCATTTCCAACAAAATACAATACATAATAATGAATACAATGTAAAATGTATACAAAACATAGTTACATTTGTAATAAACAAATCTTAATAATAATTAATACATTTTAGGAAGACAAAAAATAAATTTTAAAATTTAACTGCATTTATATTTTGAGGAAATGGAAAGGTCCACTGAAAAGCAGAGCTTGTTAATTGTGGACCCCTCAGAAAATAATGAGTGTGAACAAAATATGGAATACATAATCAATGAAAGAAAAATAGTGGCCAACAGAGAACATTTATTAACACACGTAATGTAAACATGTAAACAAGAAGACGTAACAAATAACATTACGAAGAAAGAACAGAAAAAAGAAGAAGAAAACAAAAAAGTATCTCTTCCGTCGCTGAAGATTATCTTCTTATACATACATTTTGCAGTTTGTGCGATGGAATCAACGAGAATGTTAATTCGTGGGATCTTTTCTCGACAAAATGATGATGATAATATCAAACCAAGTGGCAAGGGTGAGAATGGAAATCAAACCAAAACGAATCCTAACACAAGGTATCGCCACTGAATTTCATTCACCCTCGCGTCACCACGAAGCTGCTGAACGCCCTCTACGACTGGTACATCGATAGGTTGCACCCATATGTACTCTTCGACTTTGCAGTTTGTCAAATGCAGGCACGTAGCCAGAGTTCGATGTTTGAGGGGGGGCACATACATGTAATCGATCGAGGTAAACAAAAAGGGGGGGGGGGGGTCTAAAAAGTTCAACCGATCTGTGAATTTTTTTTGTCTTTCTTCAAAATGCTAATATAAAACAAACACACCCTGACGAGACGGAATTGTTTCTCTTCTTCTTAAATCACACAATTGTGATCGAAAAAGTTCATGTTCTTTATTTCGAAATCTTTGTTTCTTTTGTGATCACTCCTTAATTTTATCCAACAGCGAGGTGAAGTAAAAGAATCCCATCATCATTAACTTTTCATCATCATCAACTCGATTCATAGAACAAAATGATAACATAGATGATTTTTTTTTCAGTTCCTTTTTTTTTTTATTATTCTTTCCTTAACAAAGGAATGTTTCACTAGCTCAATACAGTTTTTGGTCTCTCTTAAAAAAAAAAGAGATTCTATTCATTCCACTGGTTAAAAGAGCTATAGAATTATTTTTAATTAAAACACCCCTTGGAATGTCAATCTTTTGTTCTCTCCTAAATCACGAGCGTGAAATTCTGCCATATATCCTGTTCTTTCTTTTAGAGCAAACATCCTTTTGTATTCGCTCCAAAGAACTCTACATTATAAAACAACGAGGTGAACTGAAAGAGCATTATCATGAATGGATCTTTTGTTTGATGGTATATCCTCCTTCTCCATTGTTACGTCATAACATCAATACATCATAAAAGGTATCTTCAAAGCCAATTGTGTTCGAGTTGAAGACTGTTGCTAACGAATTCATTTCATTTCGAGCAGGAATTCAGGTCACAAAATACATCACTGCTTTCGATTATTATGTTGATAGCAATTTGAACAACGTTCTCGAGGCACATTCGATTCACTTTCCATGGACCATTGTAATCAGGAACCTCATTGATTCCCGCACTTATCAAAGTCAACGTGTATCGATCAAATTTCGTCTCCCGAATTTATCACAAGTCGCGCAATATTTCAGCTTGAAATGATGAACAGGTATAACTACTTTTTTTTTCTTTCTCTTTACCTCTTCAGAGGGACATTATTATTCCATTTCAAAATACATATATACTATTTACAAAACAAGTGAAATGTAACATTAATTATATACAAGATCAACATAATTTCTAACATAATGATCATTATAACATTTCTATTACTTACTTAACTTCTTCACTAAATCGAGGTATATTATATTTTCTTTGTATTTCCAATAACATTTCTATGATGAAATAAAATTATTTATTAACCTCTTTGGAATGGTTGGTACTTTCCCAAAGTTCCGCCGTACGTAATCTTTGTTTATTACAAGTTGTGCATAGTTTATCAAAAAATTAAGTAAAATAAATTTGCTGTTATTCATAACTGCTTTTGAAAGTATTTTGGACAACGTTCCCCGACCAGATTCGATTCGTGGTCCGTTGCCATGAGGAACAGTAATTCGTAACGCTATTCAAAGTTTTAATAACTGCTCAGCGAAATCAGATTTCGTCTCACCATTTCATCACGAGTTTGTCTTGCCATATTTCAGCTTGCCAGGACAGGACACTACATTTGATTGATTCTTGGACAACGTTGATCAACTCAAGAAAGTTAGTTTGCATACTCAATACAACCCATACCTCTTACGAATAAAGGTGCCGTGTAATAGGACCTTGAACTTCTGTCCGGCTGATCCAAAGTACCCCATCACTCGTGCAACCTGGGAGAGGTCACGGATAGTACCATCTCACAGCTGCTAGACCTGCTTCACATACAGTCCCCAGAAACACTAAGCAGTTATGCGACCATGCAACTCTGTGTTTCTTCCAACGCTTTGACTTCGCCTGTTGTTTCCTTTCTCTTATGATGAACTGTTGCTGGTGGGTACTTATTTCCATAAGCTGGATGTCTGAGCGATCTTGAAGAGCCTCTGACATAGTCTAAGGGTAATCGCAAGAGACTATACCTCTTCATACCTGTCGACCTCTGAAATGTTCGGCGTTGATCGTAGTTCATTGGGCTCCCGCTTGGTGTACGCTAACAAACCACAGTTTCCGTTTGTGATGGAGGCGAGCCAGTCTAGGTCGAAATCATTGATATTTCGTTTGGCATGATGGCAATGGAGTCTAGGGTCAAAGTTCGAACGATTAAGTCTACTATTGTTTAGCTCTTGATGCATAACATCCTCTTTCATTCCCACGACTTTATTGCTCTCAGCAAATTGAGGTTGATGTAGTGTCCCTTTCGTCCTCTTGTTTGGCGGAAGGCCCCAGGCTGTGACGTGCAGGATGCGTTGCGCCCTTCCTCCACTACTTCTGCTACAGTAAACAGGAGAGCCGCAATGTGCTTGCAGGTGGCCTGTAAACTGTGAGAGAACAAAAAATAAGAAGGGAAAAATAATTACTTACAAAGAAAATGTCCTCTACCCATCCCTTTGATTGTTATGAAATCACAAAACCTGTTACGAAGACTAATTATTTATTTTAAAAATGTTTAATCTATAAATGATGGAAGCATTGAGAAAATTTGAGGTAAAATCTAGGGTTGGGATTAGGGTTAGAATGAAAATTAAAATCAGCTAAGAAACTTTAATCTTTGGATTCAGCTTCATCTGCAAGTCTAGTCAATTTTTGTGGTAATGTACTCCGAAGTTATTTCTACAATTTACGTGACTTAATTTTTTTAACGGCTTACCCTACGCAACAGTTGCATTCAGCTGTGCAGATTCTTCCTGTCTCTTTCTGCAGCACTAGCCATGTCAAGTATGCTGGCTTAGAAGTCTTGACCTGAGGAATGACCTACAAATTGTGAAATAAAAGGAATGAAGAAAACCACCACAACAATGTTATTTTATAAGGTTAAGTTATATAATAATAATGTTGCCATTAGTCATTACTTCTTCAGAATACTCTCTAGGCGGACACATGACAAACAGTTGACTACCTTTCAGTGCTCATCAACACCATTTGCAGAATCCTTCTTCCCTGAAGCTGTAAAACTATGGAATGACCTACCTTAACTAAACGTGGACATCAAATCCAGCACAGTCTTCAAATCTGCAACCCAAAAACTAAATCAAATAGCATAACCCCTGAAATACACAAATCTATACTCTCGTCACGCCAAGTTATACTTCCAGTTATAGTTCCTAGCGGACCTTTCGGAAGAGACAAACACAAGGTACACTGTGATTTAGGCTACATGTATTTCTCTTTAAACAATTATATCATACACATTTTATTTTTAAATATGAATCTATTCTACGTCTTCTAAGCACTAAAATTATATCACTGATATATACCTGTCCTCGCACGAAGCAGTAGCAAATCCTTGGGTTGATGCCATGATTCGGGAAATGTACGATTTCTGCAACGTTGAAGAAATCCGCAACGTTACACCGCGAATGCGCATAGAGGGCGCGTTTGATTGTTTACGTTGCAGATTTCTGCAACGATGCAATGATGCCGCGTGCGCCGTAGCTCATGTACTAGGGGGAGGGAGCTCGGGTGGGGGGGGGGGGGGTGTGCTTGTATAGGGGAGGGGGCAGTGTCAAGGGGTGGAGAGATAAATGAAAATAAATAAACTATAGATCTATGTGGGATAGTGTAATAACAGTTTGAATAATGGTTTAAAGTTGAACTTGTTCAAAAATGATTTTTCTTTAGTGCTAACATATATATATTCTTCACTCCCCTCGATCCCTGCTCTCTTTCTAGTTCCTTTCTTTCAAAATACATGCAACTGTCTTCTTTATTACCCTCTTAAGGTGGCGAAAGGGCTGAGGGATGCTATAAAGACATCAAATTTTGTTTCTGGCGTTTATCAGCTAAGCCCTGATAATTTTTATGTTAAACATACATTTTCCATTTTGTATGTTGTTTGTGTTATGTTTATCTCTTGTGAACATGTTATATTTATGCAATGTATGCCGACAGGCTGTCATCTGTTTTTTGGGGGGCGGGGTATTTTTTAGATTATGATGTTATTATTAATAATAATTATTGTCTTTTATAGAAATGTTTTTAAAAAAGAAGTATGGAAGTAGCAATCATGTTTTGATATGTTTTATTGATTTAACAAAAAGAATGATATTTATGTTTTACTCTACTTATACTATTACTATTATTAATTTGGTTTATTCAAACATTGCTATTTGTATTTGAAGATGCCCCTAATATGTACATCATGAAAAACATTCAGAATTAAAGAATGATGGAAGTTGAACAAGTTAACAATTTTTTTTTCATTCATTTTGTGTGTTACTTTGAAAATGTAAATTGTTTAATTTTCGATCATGAGCTTGTTGATCATGTAAAATTGTCATATAATGATTCATGAATAAACTTGACTTCCAATTTAATTTGTTTACGTGTTTTCTTTTTAGTCAATTGATCAATTCATCCTTTTTTACCAGTTCAACACACATCTTCTTTACCCTCAACCCCTTTCACTCTCTTTATATCTCATGCTCAACGAAATATGCCACTTTTTAAAATAAGAACAAAGTGCTATTTCACAATCACAATCTGTTAAAAAATGAAGAAATTGGTGAAGAGACATGCATGTAGACAATAAAAACATCAAAAACATAATAATATGGTTTCATTTCTTTAATTTTGATATTCAATGTCATCTTGACTACACACGGATCATGACTATAACACATTAATGTCTCTTCCTCCGTTCCTCCTGATCTGACGTACTATCTCGTCTGCCATCCTCTTTCCCCCCACCATCACATAACACACGTTCAACTTGGGCCCCCCTCCTCTCACGGGCCCGTCATGGGTCATCGTCCCAAGATACCAGCAGTAGGCCCCCCAACCACTGTTGATAGCGAAACGGACCACTGCCGATAGCCCCTTCGGTACCCTACCGACTGGATGGCCACATATCTCTCGTACTGTCTGCTGGCGATCGCGACCCGACGTAGATGCTGCCCTTGTCTCTTTGTCGTGCAACTCTGGAGCGACGACGTCTAGCTTTGGAGCCACCACCAAAGTTGCCGCTTTGTCGTATTTATTCCCCATCTCAGGCCTGCATTGCATCAAGAATTGTGATCCTTGGAATGGCCTCTTCTTGAAGTGGTGATATCTGTAAAAACAAATATAAATAAAGGAGAAAAGAACTTGGTAAGTTCAACCTTGGAATATAAAAATGAAAGAGAAAAAAATACGTTGTCATTATGTGTGATAAGCGAATGAGTGATGCATTTCATGAGATGATTTAAGACAAGGAAAACCGGAAATAGAAAATGAGTGAATAAGAACATGTATTTCTCATTACTTACCCATTGACTGTTGAAGTGAAACTAATCACTGCCTTCCCTGGGCCACCCCAGCCCCTCTCCTTAACAAGTTTCTTGGTCTCTAGGATGCTCATGATGTAATAAACTTAAATAAAGACCTCAATTGAATTGCTAAATGAACTTAAAAAGACAAGTTCAGATTTCGCGGTGAAGTTCTAGTGACGCGGGGATCGCCTTAGAAAAGCAATAGTACTATATAAGCGCGCATTCATGACCAAGGTCAAGGGATCAAGCCTTGAGAATTAAGGGATCAAGAAAAGAAAAGATTTAAAGAGCTGTAAGCAAGAACAAGAGAGAGATGGGAGATATATTGAAAGGATATATATAAATATAAATACAAGTAGTCAACATGTGAGAGGTTAATAAAGATCAGAGGCAACAGTTCTATATCTAACTTAGATAAGGCCGGATCAACACCCATGCACAAGAGCTATATTCCAGCCGGCAGTAGCGTACGCAGGATTTTTTCAGGAGGAGAAGGGGGGGGGGGGGGGGGGGGGGGTAAGAGCACATATTTATTTGGTTATCCCGGAAATTTTTAAATTATGCCGACTGAAATTTCGTTCAGTGGGAGGGGGGGGGGGGGGGGTAAGGTCGTTTTTTCACTCTTTAGCACCCCCCCCCCCCCCAAAAAAAAAAAAAAAAAAAAAAAAAAAAAAAGTTGTTTTTTCTTTCTTCATTTGACAAAATACCCACATATTAAATAAATTCAAGGGGGGTTAACGCCCCTCCCCTCCCTCCCCCCGTCTGCGTACGCACCTGTCAGCCGGAAACAATTATATCTGGATTTAACAAAACACACACAACAACAAAATGTTTCAGGTAGACCGACAGGTGGTCATGCTATGTTTTATGTTTTCAATTTTAGGTAAGGATGGGGAAAAGTCAACCACCAAAAAGGAAGACGCGCCAGACTCCGCGGACGCCTGGGTTCTCGAAGAGATGCAGGTGTGAACTCCATGATGCCACACAGTCGCCTGCACCATCTCTTTTCAAGAAATCAAGCCGACTTTATGTGAAAGATCACTGGCAATGGCTAATATCCAGCAAACTTTTATCTTCAACTTCAAACTACGTATGCGTGAATTGTATTAACTATGCCAAGCGTAATTGTGAAACTCAAGCTTCCACGTCGGTGTCAAGCCATGATGATGACGAAGGCAATCATGAAATTGAACCACCAATACTCGATCCTGCAGTGGAGGATATTTTGCAACGAGTACAAGAATTAACAGAAGATCAAAGAGAGCATCTTTACTTCAACTTGGGTGATTCCATAAACAAGAAGATACTTGACGATACGAAAACCCTGGCAGGAGATTATGCCAATCTAGATAATCTTGCAAACTTTGATATTCAACAATTTCTGAAAGGAAGACCAAAGGAACTGGTGAATTTCTTATCTGGTGCAACCAATATCTGCACAGAAAATGCATCTCTCTCTAAGAAAACAGCATTTGCCATTTTAGTTGAACAATTGTACTATGTTCGGAATAAAAACTATACTGGCAATGTTTCATTCAGTCAGTCACTGGTTAAGTGGGCCCTTGCTGGTAGTAAAACAATAACAACCATTGATGGGGCCACAACGCCATCGGGAAGTGTGACCACACTAAAAAAGGTACTTGACAACTCTTCAAAGCAGCCCAATAAATGCTTCTCACCTGGGGACGTCGAGGTATTTGCCGACAACTCGCAAAGGGTTGGGAAAACGGGACGTGTGAGGGAAAGTGGAATAACACCGGTACATACAGTGACTAACGTTGTCTTCATACAAAGAAATCAACCATCAGATACGCAGACAAATGAAAATCTAAAACCTTCCAACTGGTCAGGGAAAATGAACATGACAGAAATAAACAAGAAGGTAACATAACTGGAGGAATCTCTGAATGCGTCTGTCTTCCGGCCTTATAGATGTCGACAGCAAAGTGAGGCCCTGGAAAAAGTCAAACAAGAAATCGAAGTTGACAACATCACAGGAGAAGTTAAAGATCATGTCCAAAATTGTGTCGCAAATGAAGGAGTCAACGTGTGTGTCAATTGTTCCAAAGTGTATGGAAAAAACTACAATCTGTGTACTCACTGTAATCACAATCCAAACAATATTAGTGATCGGTCAAAATTGTATAAGTTTGTTGACGTCAACCACCCCCCGCAACCGGCAAAAGTTGCCATGGGCGAAATTATTGGGGTTAATCCAAACTCACGACAAACCATCAAACATGTGCTAAAAGAGTTACTAAGGCAGGGAAATGTACCGAATGAAAGGAAATGGATCAGGATAGGTTTTGATGGGGTGCCGTACAGAATAGCAGACTCTTTGATAAACGATATTGTGATTTGTAGTGTTTGTGGGGAGGAGGTGGACTTGCAAAAAAAAATCGTTCGATTTTCACATCTCTTCTGTCCATCCCGGAATGACTAACGTAGCACACAGACAACTTTTTGACTCCGTACTTCTAGCTTTAGGAGCAGGTCATGTCGAAATTAATTCCATCCGGACATTATTTCGGCTTTGTAAGCCGATATTTCTAGACTATGTGTCAGGTGTTCTGGGTTTTAAGTCCCAACGAGCCAAAGATTTCGTCAGTGGAGCCACAAATCACCACGTGTCATGGCAGGTCTTCAGAATTACATACGACGCATTTGCGAGGGAACTGATGTATGTATATGTTTCTAAATGCATCGAGGAAGGCACAACTCCGTCATTAACAGGCATGCTATCATGGAAGGAAAGGGTAATTAACCCTAATTATAATTTAATGTTTGATATTATTTTTCAGTATTTTACTGGAGCACACTGTCATCGCAGTGGAGTAAGGTGCAACAATTCAGAAGCCATTGTTGCTGGGAGGCAGACGGTTGCACCACTCTTCTACTGTAACAATCATTATATTTATCAGAAGATTTTGTTAAGCGACATGACGAAACGTGTAGAAGCTCCAGAAGAGCTGAAGAGATACATCACAGATAACGAGTCGTTCTCTCGCAGTGGAGATCCGTTCCGTGGAGAGGGCGGTGATTTCATCACGAAGGCAGAAAACAGAACACTAAAGTCAAATCTTTCTCCAGGGATCCCAACTTTAAAGAGTTGGGTAGCTTCCAGCCGCTGCTCTAAACCCCTTGCAGTTAACAGAAAAGCTGTCTTCCAAAGAGCAGGGGTTGAAGATCCTGGCAGCGATGGAAGCTCAATCTTCAACCATGAGTTGGAAGTCCAGGCCATTAGAAGACATATTAGAGAGTCTGGTATGCTACAAAACCCGTACGACTCACTCCCTTTGAGGTCCCTGGAGAACCGCCCCCTTCAAAAAGACCTCGTGAATGTCTTGTCAACATCACAAGAAAAATATAAACAGTACAAGGAAGATGTCAAGAAGCAAGCAAACACGAATGACGAAGTATATGTATTGGAAGAATTTTAAGGTATTTTTATTTTATTTTCTTAAATCAACTTTCGTTGCCAGTTATTATATATTTGATATATTTATTTCCATTTCAATGTGTAAAGTAAAAACAAAGTAAGTTTGCATAAACGATAACAAATACAGTGAAAAAAGTACAGGGATAAAATATACATAACACCAGAGACAAAGAAATGGAGTTAGAATTATTCAAACGTTTCAAAATAATGTTCAAATGTCTTTGATGTGATGAGGGCAGTAGAATGGGACGGCCTCCAGCTCCTCTTCAGATATGTACGCCAGGCCAATGCATTTCTGGTGGACCCAGTACTGGCAAGCAGATTTGGATCGCTTTGTGAAGCTGCACCCGATCCAGAGGTCAATGTCCTCTCGGCGGTTACAGACACGACAAGCATCCTTGTTGAGCTTGCCAGTACTGGGCCCATCAACGTTATCTACAATGGCATGACGTTTTCTGGGCGTTGCCATTACCGATGTCGCAGCAATGTCCCTCTCCGTCTCACGGTTATTCCAATCTCTTGATCTTGGGGTAGCTGCATCTGGTGTGGAGAAGCACCAGCTTTTTCCCTTCATCCATGTTGGACGAATTGACAAGTTCACGGAGCATCTTGTTTCTACTGCTATCTCTTTGGCCTGCATTAATGCAAAAAGAGGGAGAGAGAGATATAAAAAGGGGATCGGGGGGGGGGGGGGGGGAGGGCAGGTATTACGTCTTTCTTGTTTAAAAAAAATAGAGATATATAATGCAATAATATGTTTAATGACACTCACATTGGTCCTATAGGTTATTTGCATTTTTTTAGAACAGAGGTTGAAGATATATTCTTTGTCAGGGATATAGTTACTATACTGCACTCACGTTTTTCAATAATGTTCGTGCCCGCCTGCTATAGCAGCTCCTCCTGGCCCCCGACTCCTTCTTGTGACTTACTACAGTCTTCTGCCCACCTTTCTCCCTTTTCCTTCTTTCCTCATTTACTTCCCTCTCTAGAGCTAGGAAATACTCCTCGTCCATTTTAGTAGGCTGGAAGAAAAAGGGGGAGGGGCGGTCGTGAGGTGGTTATTATTATCATAATTTAGTTACTATACTGCACTCACGTTTTTCAATAATGTTCGTGCCCGCCTGCTATAGCAGCTCCTCCTGGCCCCCGACTCCTTCTTGTGACTTACTACAGTCTTCTGCCCACCTTTCTCCCTTTTCCTTCTTTCCTCATTTACTTCCCTCTCTAGAGCTAGGAAATACTCCTCGTCCATTTTAGTAGGCTGGAAGAAAAAGGGGGAGGGGCGGTCGTGAGGTGGTTATTATTATCATAATTTTTTCGGTTTTGTTGTATCAATATTTTTTTTATTATTACTATTATCATTATTATTAATATTATTATTATTATTATCATTATTATTATTATTATTATTGCTATTATTAGACATACACATGCACACCGCATTACACTACCAAAGAAAACAATTGCCATAATTTCAATCTCTTTTAATAAAATTACGCAAAGTAGGCGAAAAAGTGATCCATCCTCATAATCATATTCTTCAGATAGAACTTGAGATAGTACTTTTTGTCCAAGACTTTGTTTGCAAAAAAGATATTATAAATAGAAATTTGTTATGAAATGGGTTGATAAAAGGACATGATTAACTTGTTATTATTATTATTATTATCATCATCATTATGCTATTATTAGGCATACACATGCACGCCGCATTACCAGGCACGTAGCCACTGGGGGGGGGGGGGCACATGCCCCCTAACATTTCCAAGATCGGTTGAACTTGCGCATTACACTACCAAAGAAAACATTTGCCATAATTTCAATTTCTTTCAATAAAATTACACAAATTAGGCGAAAAAGTGATCCATCCTCATAATCAGATTCTTTACGACTTCAGATAGTATTTTTTGTCCAAGACTTTCAATTTGCAAAATAACTATTCAAAAATGGAAATACATTATGAAATATACTCGTATTCATCCACAAATATAAGAGCGAAGCATTTCTGAGACTATCCCTAACTGATTTGCATATTTTGTTGAACTATGGGTAATAACTTTCAGTTCTGCGGTGATTCATTTGAACTCAAGTTTGGAGGAGGCCCGTCACAGCTCAAAAAGTTACATTTTCTCGCCTCAGAGGGTACAATTTGCCGAGTTGGTGTGTCAAGATGAATTCATAATCGAATATTTTCAAAACTACAGGTAGGATTTTTAAAATACAGGGTGAAAAACGTTAAAAGTACTTACTCTTTCAGATGATTGTACCCAAAGGTTGCGTTGATTAATGTACGTTTGCGTTGACAGCAATGCAGTTGTACGTTGAAGATTTCCGACACTCTATGGTGTCGGGAATCTTCAACGTTGTAGAAATCGGGCATGCGCGCATTGCAGATTTCTTCAACGTTGCAGAAATCGTACATTTCTGACTGCACATGACCAGACATGTAAAGACCTTTGCCCAGCGCAAGAATTCTCCTCCCTTCTAGTCCAATTCTGCGGTTTCCTGTGCAAAGAAATAGATAAAAAAAATAATTTATATATGAATAGACTAATAACTTATGGCAATTGTTGTTCTCAACTTCATCCTATATTAATTACATGTAGACCCCTGTCATGGCCAGGCCCATGATGATCACATTCAGAAAAGAGACGTGATGCTCCCACATTAAGTCCAAGAATCCAAATCTTATCTAGACTAGACGTAATTACACTACATATTTTATCTTTAGTCTTAGAGTTTATATTTGTACTTCAGTTAAATACATATTTTTAAAACCATTCATCCTTTATTTACCTTTTGATGTAAAAAAACAAACACACAACTCACCGGCTTTGATGAAGCTGTCGATGTGATCACGGGATATGGCAGGCAGATTGGCAGGACTATCTTCCCAACCGTTTGTGAGCGTCTCTGGTCTTGGAAGTCGTATTAAACCATCATCAAGTATCAACCTTTCCTGCTGACACTTTAAAATCTCTTGATCAGTTTTCTCATCAGAAGGTTTCACTTGCAAATCAAGCTTTTCCGCCCAGTAGGCTTTTTCAGCAAGTTCAGCGTGTTTTTCCTCATTGACTGGTACGCGGCTATCCCTCAAAAACGTCTTGAGTTCTGTGGCAGAAAACTGTAAAAACCTACGAGCTCCGTCTGCCATAATTGCAGTGAAGTCCCACAAAACAAAGATTAGTTCTGTAGCTCTGGGTACGAGTATCAAATCGTTTACAAACTGCGACTGAAAGAGCAGTAAATTGATTAAAAATAGCTTGGACTTCAGGTAGTACTACACAAAATGTATGGCATTGTGCTTTCCTTTTCTATCCCAGATGCCTTTGCGCGAAGGGCGCCAACCAGCGATAAGAACTATACGCAACAGCACGGCTTTCAGTTACCTGTTTCTATGTGCATGCACTGCATATTTCTACATGAGTAATGGCAGAATAAAAGATCACACTGCCTACAGTCGCAATCAAGGTAATTCGATTTGGTTCCACGTTTTTCATTGTCGTTGTACAGAATTGGTGGTGAAATATTTATATCGTACTATACAAAAATAAATACAAACGAAAGTCGATTTAAAAAAAAATATTTTAAAACAAAACAATATGATCAATTAGTTTGTAACTTTTGCAAATAGGCTCATTTTTCATTTTATTGTTAAGATCATTTCTTTTTAAATCTTCAACTTTTGTTTTTGTTTTCAAAAGAAGTCAGATTCTTTGAATTTCCCCTTCATTGTGATGCACTATTGTATTTAAATCCTTATGGAATATATTTTGTATAAATTCATTTAACAAAAACAGTTTTAGGAATAGGAAAGGACATACATGTGTGATCGTCGTCAATGATAAAAAATCTAATGGAGGATCAACATATGCAACCTCAAAGAGAAGGTTGAGTTCTGGTTCTGGGGAGAGGTAAACAGCATTGTTATTATACAAATGTGGAAGAACATCACAGAGGAAAAAAAAGCATGGCTCTTCAAATGCCTTCATATTCTAAATATGACAAGTAAAAGCTTAAAAGTGAGGCCCGACCCTTAGAGGGGGGGGGGGGGGGATATTATCGTAAATTGAGGGCACCGGGCTAAATGGGTATACCGAAGAATATTAACTAAGAAGTCCGGGGTGAGAGTGTTTTCTATTTATATTGTCACGGTCCCTCCAACACCTCCCCCGTCTTTCTCTCTCTCTCTCTCTCTGTCTATCTATCTATCTCTCTGTATTTCTTTTTTCTCTATCTCTCGCTGTATCTAGTGCTCTGTCTATCTCTCTGTATCTCTCTCTCTCTCTCCTAGTTCTTTCTGAATTGCGTCTTTATATCTACAGCTTACCCTGACAACACCTTTGATATATTGTTCGCTAAATCCAAATCAGCTGTTAGATATTTTAGATTTGAGCAAAATATTTTTGCCGATATTTTAGCCACATGAAAATATGGCCACATTCATGTTCTGTCAAGAACATGGAATGATACAAATTCCCCACAGTGCAGCATTAAAGGTGGTGGAGGGTATGCCCCCTGCCACCTGCCAAACTCCAATATGAATTTCAAAGTACACAAAAACCTGCCCCCCCCCCCCTCCGATAATGTTCCCCTTTAAACAATCTTAGGGTCCAAACTCACCTGACGAAATGCGATTAATTTTCTTTGTTAATTTTTTTGAAATTCAGCACCTACTATCGCCTAAACGTGAACCAGCAGCTCAGCCTGCGGTAACAATACTGATGACCAAACTGATTCCTGTTCTCTTTTCTTCAAAACAAATCATGTATATATGGAGAAAGACAATTTACTATTAACATTTATTTATTTATATCAAATAAATAAAATGGAAATATTATAATTTAAAAGAAGAAGTCAAAAATGTACAAAACTACAGTTTATGATGAAAAGACCAATTCGTAGATTCGCACAAACACATGTCTGTCAGTGCCAGAATGTCTGAACTAAGAGATTTTGCCGATTTCACGGTCTACTCACACCTAGGCTCTGTGCTTGACACAGACTTAAAGAGGCTCTGATTATTGTGGGAAAATGTCAAATAGTGTACGTTCACAAAGTAATGGTAATATAAAGAATATATTAAAATATATGCAAATACATGGTACAACATTATTTTTCATCAAACTTAAGAAGCATATTACATACAATGTCATTGTAACTTTGAAAATATAATAACATAGTACCTGTACTGTGGTCTTACAATTAGAAACATGGAGGGTTATATGTGATATAAAGTGAGAGAGAGACAGAGCGACACAGAGAGAGAGAGAAAGAGAGAGAGAGAGAGAGAGAATGGTAGGGAAGGCAGGACAGAGTTTATAAAATTGACAGAAATTGTACATTACTAGCTGGAAATTAGGTAATTTTTGTTACAAGCATTTTAATGTATCAACAGCGTTATTACTTTACAATATTTCCATATGCCCTTTTTTTACACACTGACTCACACTCAATGTTAAGAGCTCTATATTCATCATGCATTTTACGCCGTTTCGGAGTGCTCGGTTTTCCGAAGTTGTATCTGATTGACATTTATATCTTTAGACTTTGAATTGAAAACGATGATTAATCTAAAAAATTCAGTATTTTTGTTAAAATTTAGTAAGTGAACTACAATAAGACAAATTTGAAACGACCACTCTTTACATTAAAGTGAATTTTTTTGTAATTTGCGAATGATGTTTGCGTCATAATTTTTCTTCTGTGTTCTCTGCCGTTGAAAAAGCATACACAAAATGATTCGTCCTTCATCATATTGACCTTTACATAACTTCCTATAGGTCGGTGACATCAAAGGGGGGGGGGGCAAATCATACCAAGATATTATGCTTCACCACGATCCTTGATCATACTTCAGTCTTTTGGTATGCTTTAACAATTTGAGCCGAGTAGCTATTGTCAGAATGCTCCCAAGGGAGTGGAGAAAGTGCATACATTGTGTGCGGGTGAGCCAGAATCCGATGACCGGGGTAATAATGCAAAGCGCTTAGAGACTCAGACATTCCTGACGGATTAAGCGCTATATAAGCAAAAATATTATGATTATTATCATTATTATTATTGT